CGACAGACGAAGAACCCGGAGACAAGTGAAGGCTCACTGCCGTTACGTACAATATAATTTCCTGATTCTTCAAGTCTTCTCCCTTGATTGCCTGGTTCAAAATTGGCGACCCTGCCAGGATCATTCCCTGAATATGCCGAAGACTCCGAAAAGTGAAGACGCGACCGCGCATGCGGTGGACACTGGCGGCACGCAGCTGCCAAATGTTCTGAGTGCGCTAACGGAACGGTTAGAAAAACTATCCACCATGGGACCAACAGTGGCCTGCTCAGTCCCGGAGAAGTACAATGTTGGAGACAACTTCCAGCGGTGGGAGAAGCAAGCGAAAATATATCTTGAGAATTTTCTACCTGAACGTCATCCCAATTTGGTGTTATCTTTACTCGGTGGAGAGGCATTCGATGTAGTGACCGAGGCGGACTGCATGAAGGGAGGCGTCATAGCAGAAAAATTTGCGTGCCCTCGACGGTTATTAGATTCACCCCTGCTGCCCATGGAATATAAGAAGCAATTCAACGCACGGCACCAATACGACGGCGAGGGCGCGCAAAGTTTTGTTCGAGAATTGCGCCGTCTGGCCAGCAGAGCATGCGAAAATGATTGGCCTTTGGAATTGGAGAGGTTGCTGGAACAACTAGTCGATGGGTCCAGAATCAATAACGTACGACGGCATCTGCTCTTGCACCTACTAGCGGACTTGGACATGGCTGTCAAACGTGTAGAAGATATGGAGAAGCCGGAGGCGGCCACAGCAGCACCCCGAGAATGCCTAGCAGTGGGACACTATGGGGCACGAGAAGTCGGACACCAAGCGTGGCAGAGGCCGAGGAAGGCGACGACCGTGGCGGCCCAACTATCAGTTCCAGCACGGACCACCAGCCCGTTGGCATAACAGGACATTCAGCTACGGTGGACGACAACCTGATGAATCCAAGCAAAACAAAACGTTGAATAACCAGGACAGGTTAATGATCGAACTAGCAATCTGTAATCTTATATGTTTGGCACTGATATATATATATATATATTTACCACCGGCTTGAAAACAAGCATGGTGC